TATATATGTGTGTGTTTGTATATATATATATATATATGGATATAGATATAGATGTATGCGAATCGTAAATTTAGCACGATTAGATCCAAAATCTAATAAATTTTGTCTAATGGTTACACGTTATTCAAATTAATAACATCTCCAGGCTACGTAGTACTCCAGCTGACATGCTCCATTGCCACACATATATATAGGTTAGAGAGCAGTTGGTGTTCAAGTACGGCAAAGAAGTAGGTATCCAAGCCATGGAGAACCAGGACGATTGTGTCAACGCAAAGATCGTCAAGCGATTAGACCTGACAGCGCCGAGCGAGAAGCTGAAGTTTGCGTACTTGGAGATGATTGCTGAATCGCATGGTGTTGCATGGTATGCCAGCCTCATTATATCTGACGACGTCACTGAGATTGTGTTCTTGAAGATGGTATTGAATTTAATGCCATCGTTTTTGTACGACAATCTTTCGCCAAGCCTTGTACTGATTTTTACGTTTACGTTCGCTTTCACGGCGTAGTTCAAGTGATCGCTACTCCCAGGATCTGCCTCAAAAGAATGAAAGCTGGGTATATTTTAATTAGATTGTAATGTTTTTGGCAGAGGAATACAATTTTTACACATTCATTACTGTCTCAAATGTTATCTGCAGGTCGGCTCCAGAGGCACCAGCACCGAAGCCCAAGCCAGCGCCGCCAACAGAGACAATCAGACCATCTGTGCGCAGAAGTGTAAGTATCATTATTGGTATCCGTCGCCCCATTTATGTAGCTTACGTGTGTATGTAAGCTATGAACTTTCAAAGAGTGTAACACTGCAAGGTTTATAAGGTCTCAGAATACATGCCATCGATACCGCGGTCTTTTGGAGACTAACAGTTCTCGTGCAGGCGCGTACGAGAGGTGCACTCTACCCGTCACTTGAGCGCACTCTAATCGGAACCGATTGATTGTTGCATTATCCTGAATACAGATTTTTAGTCTCACTTTATTTCATTCCATATCTCATCGACTTCTCGTCGATTTCTGTAGTCGTTCACATTCTCTTTTAATAATCTGTTATGTTGTACACATTTTCTGTTTTACTCATTTTGTCTGAACCACAGCCCGGGCCACAAGAAGAAAAAGATGAGTCCGGCCAATCGGGTATAGTGTACGAGACTTCCACATTCCAATCCTTCTTAAACAAACAAAGCGCCGCGTACCAGGTGAGTGCTAGTTGTGTATCAATACTCATATATGTATCAATACTA